GATCGAAATATGTGTCCGTAGGTAGGTCCGATCCAAAGTACAAACAACTTTTTTTTTTGTGTGCCGGTGTTATTTAAGAGGAGGAGGGTTATAACATTCAATTATTTCTTAAGTAGATCAATACTCTTATTCAAAAACTAGCAGACACTGCATTTGATAAGTCAAATGTCTTTGTTTACCTAGTAATTGATTAAAAGCAAAATTTTTTTTTTAATTTACTCGCTGAAAATCGACAAAACTGTCGGTTAGACGATTTTTAAATATTTTCTATTGTAATTGATTTTAATAAAAAAAAAATTGAAAATTTTAAGATGATGGTTAACGTCAGTATCACATTAGTGTACTATTATCAATCAACAAAATCAATGCCGTGCATTTATAAAGAAAAGAAAACAAAAATACAATTGAACCTCATTATAAACTATGCGCTATCTCTTTTATAAGTCAGGTATCATTATAATCTGAGAAAGAAACTAATCGTTTTATGGCGAGATTCAAATGTATTAATTTTATTAATACTCAAATACTTTTTAATCTTACCGATGACGAATAAATAGAGGTTTTCCTCGCCATTTGAAAACCATACTTTGTCCTTCTGGAATGTTAGATAGTTTCACTTCAATTTTGGAAACAGCTAAAACATCTGCAGAAGGTGCCATACTTAGGACAAGACTTTGAACTACACTCTTTGCTCCATATGCCGTAGCTAAGCCAGTACCTTTATAGTAGTTAGAAAAATAATCAACGATCAATCAACGATCACTAGCGAACTAGAAAATTAAAAACAAATCATTAATTACCAGCTGCAACGGCATATGCAATATTTTCTTTCTCAGGCGCATTTCCTCGTGTGTTGGCAGTTGGATCTTTTGAAATATCTTTTCGATAATTATCAAAACTTGGTACTCGAATATCGGTATGAGCCAAACGGTGCTGAGAAATTTGAGTGCTCACTACGTTGTATGAAAATAATTAAAAAAATAGTTTTATTAATGATTTAGATAATCGCATCATAATGCATTACATAATTTTTGAGTATTGCGTTGTGTTATGAATTAAGGAATGTATAAAAATAGTTTCATTACAATTATTAAAAATTTTATACCAACCTGCGGGTCCAGAGCTAATGCGGATAGGCCCAGTATAACTATTTTGAGCAAGAGTGTAGGAGGTTTTCGGAGTAATAGAAGGAACACTCGTAACTTTTTCTTTCTTGCCCTTATTTACTGTGACAATACATGATGATCCATTTGACACAGCAGTAGTAGATGCTCTCAGAAAATAAGTAACATTTACGGACTTAGTTATTGCGTTCATTGTTACTATAACGTTAAAATGCTATTTTTCAAATTAATAGGTGCGTATTTTTTTTTTTTTTTTTTTTATATTAATTGCCAATTAGACCACTACATAAGATGGACCATCACCACTAAATATATGCATATGTATATATATTATACCATATGATGTAAGTATAACGGTGGAGACAGTTACGAAAGATAAAGACTGCTTTCCATTTACGAGTTACAGAATTTTTCACGTTGTTGTATAGCGCAAAATTGGCTATAGTAAATTTATTGAGTTCTTTTAATTTGCCCGTTGGAACGCGGTAGGGCGTTCAACTCGCAGTAAACAGATTAAGGCGGGAGAATAGATTTAAATTCGGATAAGTTGAATTAAATAATATATATCTAATAAATTTAAAATACTCAGATTATTTTAGTTTATTTAGATTTGCCTTGCGCGCAAATCTATTATTTATTATTCAATGAATTACAAAATAAAAAGTACCGACAATAATTTCGAAAAAGAAAATATTCGCGTGGCGTACTTAAGTCTTGCTTATTGATAAGTGTCCTCTTGTTCCTTGGTTTTCGACTCCCCCGGTTGAGATGTACGTACCCTTGGAGTGGAATAGTCCCAGAGGGTAGTGAGGGTAGTTGCGCGCGCCTCTGCAACTCTCATCTTCGGCTAGCATCCATTCTCGAGTTGGCAAAATGGGACCATGCTGAAATGACGTCACGATGACCTATGACGCTTCCAGGTCATTTGCAGCCCTACCTAGATGTTTGGCCTTAACGACCTAGTCGTAGATACTCGAGTAATCCCTTTTTAAATGAACGTTTTGGAAGATAAGCCTTTTAAGAGATTATGGCAATAAAAATAAATAGAAATCTCTGGGTTTTCCAGTTTCATAAAGAATATTCCAAAACGTTCAGTATTTTATTCTAAGTGACCATTACATTTAACGTAAACTTATTTTAATAAAGTAATTTTAATTTTTTCGGTATGTCTAGACTACAAATCGGTACTAAAAGTTTTGTAGGTTTTTTGGGTAGACCTCTATTGCCCAGAAGTGAATTAGCTACACTGTCGATGGAGTA